GATCAGGTTTTTACTAAATGTTATTAATAAAATGAGAAAAAGTAAAAATTACAACGTACCATTAGTTTAAATGTTAAGATTCACAACTTACCCTTTGGGTCAAGTGGCTTTCGAATCACCTTGAAGGTGCAGTTTCTCCTTCCTTGGATTTGAAGTTCGAATCTCACTCTTATCACTTTATTAAAAAAAAAAAAGGTTAAAACCCCTTTTTGGTCCCTGAACTATTGTGCGGACTTCAGATTTGGTCCCTAAACTAAAAAAATCCCTGATTTGATCCCTACTGTTTACCATTTTTACCACAATTTGGTCCTTCCGTTAAAATCTCACCGTTATCTCACGACAATTTAATGACATGTCAAATATTTGAGACACGTCAGTTATATAAATGACTAAATAATGATATGGCAACGTGACATGTCATGTCATGTCCTTGCCCAACCCAACAAAAGTGAGGCTCACCAAAATTACGAATTTGCCATCATCTTCTTCCTTGAGCAAACAAACCCAGCACCAAACAAACCCAGCACCTGGGTTGAATCGAACCAAAACAACGCCCTTTTTTTTTTTTCCTTCCTCTTCCTTGCCTTGCTTTCTTCATTATAATCAAACACCAAACCCACAGAAAAAATATATATGTTCATCATCATCATCTCGAACCCAGGCGTGCTGGGTTCGAAGAACCCACGCCTGGGTTCTGTTGAACCCACACCTGGGTTCGACAGAACCCAGGGTCGGGTTCCATGGAACCCAGCTAGTTCCAAGAACCCAGCCCATCATTTTCTTCCTTGAGCAAACAAACCCAGCACCTGGGTTGAATCGAACCCAAACAACGCCCTTTTTTTTTCCTTCCTCTTCCTTGCCTTGCTTTCTTCATCATCATCAAACACCAAACCCACAGAAAAAAATATATATGTTCATCATCATCATCTCGAACCTAGGCGTGCTGGGTTCCGTTGAACCCATGCCTGGGTTCGACAGAACCCAGGGTCGGGTCCCATGGAACCCAACTGGTTCCAAGAACCCAAGCGTGCTGGGTTCTTCGAACCCACGCCTAGGTTTCGTTAAACCCATGCCTGGGTTCGACGAAACCCAGGGTCGGGTTCCATGGAACCCAGGCATGGGTTCGAGGGAACCCAGCGCTTGGGTTCCTTCGAACCCAGCGCTTGGGTTCCTTCGAACCCAACGCCTGGGTTCCTT